TAGTGTATAGGAATGCTTGTGATTTTTGCCATTGATTTTGTATCCTGAGACTTTCCGAAGTTGCTTATCAGCTTAAGAAGCTTTTGGGCTGAGACAATGGGGTTTTCTAGATACAGGATCATGTCATTTGCAAACTGAGACAATTTGACTTTCTCTCTTCCTATTTGAATACCCTTTATTTCCTTCTGTTGCCTGACTGGGGGCACATTTTCTAATCACCGGAAAATCCTCCTATGGGCAGCAGAGGCCCAGAATCCACCCACACTCCCATCTCTGCTACTCACATCTTGACGCCCCTACATTTGGTTCAAAGCTAAGAGCATTTTCTAAATTAATTAAAAACTCAGAACATAGCTCAGGTCCAGAGTTAGGGAGAAAACCATATGGTTTTTTGGTTGAAAGAAACCGTAGATATTATTTAAGGTTAGCCTAACTCTTTCATTTGACAGATAAGGAAACTGTCTACAGAGCCTCTTCTGTATTGCCTCCTACTCTCAACAGTCCAGATGTCAGGCTTCAGCCAGGGCACCACTCAGCAGTATGTGTGACCCAGTTCAGTTTCAGTGAAAAACTATTATAATTGACTAAATGACTCCTTTCCTAACAGCAACTTTATAAAGATGAGTAAAATGAGAAAATGAAGCACCAACCAACATTTTGCAAACTTACATTATACACTTTTCACTTGTACATGAAGTTTTTGGAAGAGTTTCTGTTTTCTATGAACACTAGGCAATCTCTTTTGACTTTGGTCACTAGGCACCTGTGAAATTGAGGACATCTTGTTGCATTCATATTATTTCAATGTACATTGAATACCAGGCCAGAAAAAAAGAAAGAAGGAAAGAATGGAAGGAAAAGAGATTTGTTGAATGGCCTCTTGATTGTTGTGTTTTCAATAAGTCATGGACATTATATTGGGGACTTTTGACTCACTGGTGATACAGCTTTCGGTGTGTTCTGTTGTCATTAGAAATTGACCACATTTCACTCAGAAATGAAAGATGAGACTGACAAAAAATCTTGTTATAAAGCCCCTGGCTAAGAGGAAGGCAAGAAAGAAATACAGGTAAGCTAGTTTCCAAGAAATGAAATAAAGAGCACGAGAGATCATGCTGTGGCCCAGGCTTAAAGAATTCTTGAATTCCCATCTGAGTTCTGTCAGTTACCTCGATGTTTCATGTTGGTTTTTCCTCATTATTTTACCCAGGTGACTGCTCCTTACCCTACATAGGTTAGGGGATTAATTGATGATGGTGACATGCTTGGCATCCTCCATGCAAGGAAAGAGGCTGCCCCATCCCCTATTTTGGCCCAGAGCAGATAGCTGAACTGGAGTATGCTTTAGTCATGACTCTCTGTGGTGTATATTTTGGAAACTAAGGACCCACCTGCTGACCTAGGCCTTGAAAACCTCACAACTCCAGTCTCCATTCTGTCTGATCCCAAGGAAGATAAGACAAAAAAGCCGCCACACCCCTGCCCCCATCTGCTGCTGACCATTGCTGGGGATCTGCACTCTTCATTCTGCCTGGAGCGAGTGGGAAGTGACCCTGGAGGAGTACAGTGTGAAGCATGGATGAGATTTCTGCAGATCTTCATCTGGGCAGTGGAGAGTGTGTTCCAAAATGTGAGAGACTCATTTCAGCAGTTAGAGAGGGTGATCCCATTCTCTCTGCTCAAAGTAGCAGGGAGGGAATGAGGACGGCCCTTTTATGCAATACTGGATAGTGATTCAGAGCCTGCATGGAGGACCCCCACTTCCTGGTCAGAGTCCAGGTCTGCTGTTTATCAGCTCTGTGATTTGAGGCAAGTACCTTAACATCTCTGTACCTCAGTTTCCTTATGTGGGAACTGGAGACAGGCTTGCTACATGAAGCCCAGTTCAGAACACTTTACTCATATTTCTCCAACTAATCCTCACAAACATCCCAGTAGGTAGACACTATTATTATCCCCATTTACAGATGAGAAAACTGAGTCACATAGCTGGGAAATGGCAGAGGCAGCATTCAGATCTAAGCAGCCTGGCTCCATTATCAATGTTCTTAGCTGCTCAGTAGATTGGGGAACAATGTCACTTTCTTCATAGGGTTGTTGTGAGAATTAAATGAGTTAATCATGTTGCGTGCCTACCACAAACAGTGCCTCCCCCCACTGCTTACTCTAAGCAAGTGCTCACTAGATGCATGCTACCTCTTGTTAAGCTATCATGTGGGGCTGGTGACGAAGACACTGAAGTGAAAGACAGCATGGGAATAAAGATGGGACAGCAGGAAGCAGTGAGGTACATCGGAGATGACTTGGGTCTTCCTTTCCCTGGCAGTCCCCTCTTCTCTTCAAGCAGCAAGGATGATAATATTGGGGTCTAAAAGTACACAATTTTATCTCTGAATAAAATTCCATGAAGAAATTTTGCTCTCACTTTGCATTAGGTGATCTGTGATCCCATCCCCACATGTTTGAAGCTCTGAGCACAGGCAAAAAAATCAAATTACTCAGGCCATCCTGCCCCAACAGGCTCTTCCTTTCTGTTTCAGCTTCTTAAGAAATACCCCTTTTCTCCCGGGGACTGACATTCTGCTCATTGTGTTTGCTGCACAGGCCCCATGGCCAGACCCATTTTTTGCCCTGCTTTGCCCCTTTCTATGCACCAGGAAGCTGACTCTAGGAATCTCCTGCCAGCTGGCTTCCCATAGGGCTTGGTCAGCAGAAGGCACCAGCAGAAAATGCAGGAGGAAAGAGGTCAGGGCACTTCTTCCCGGCCTCACTGGTGTCTGACAAAATCTGCGATGCTTTGCTGTTGCACCTCCCATGGAATGAGGGGAGTTCCTTCACAACTCCTGCCCCCAGGGCTCTGGTAACTCTATTTCCTCCTGTTGTCCTTCTGGCCTTAGGAGTGATTGTGGCTTCCCAGTGTTGCTGGTGTCTGGTGACTTGTCACCTTGTTTGCTCCTTATGCCTTTGCACAGCACTGTAAGCCACACCTGATCCACACTCCATTTGTGCCATCTGGTTGAACTCAGGGCCCTGCCATGACCATGGCTGACACATCTACATGCCCAGGATCACTTTACCCATGAGGCCCAGAGGTGGAGCCATATATTTTCCATTAGCTATCATTGTAAAAGTTTTTCTCGTTGAAAATGTCAGATACTACATTTTAAATATTTATTGATACTAAAATTAGAATTGATAGATGAACATGAAAAAGAAAACAAGTATCATACATATTCACAGCACACAAAGATAACTGCTATTTTACCATGTGCATTTTTTCCTATTACAAAAAAATGCATATACTATTGTTTATTGGCTGAAATATTGTGAACAATTTCCTTCATCAATAAATATACTTCAATGTCAATACATTTATTTCTAATACTTCATCAAAATTCTTAATGACTACAGAGTCATATTTAGGCCTGTACCACAGTTTAATCATTCCCCTATTAGCAAGCATTTGAGTAGGTTCCAGTTTTTCCTTGTTATAAACAGTGCTGCAATAAACATCTTTGTACAGTATAAAATACTTGAAAATACAACACAATCAACTTAGTCTTCCTAAACCAAAAGCCACACATATGCAGCAGCAGCAGCAGCAGCAGCAGCAGCAGCAGCAGCAGCAGGGTCACTCCCTCTCAAGAGATAATAATATCTGCCTCCCCTGCCTCCCACTGATGTTGTGAGGTTCAACTGAGAAAATGTATATGTAAGTTCTTTATAAACTGTAAAGTGTATGGGGTGGTTATTATAGTATGAGCTTATTCTTTCGTAACAACCCTGTAAGACAGCACTGTGGATATATCTTCAAGGCACATTGTACCAACAATTTTGCCAGACATAAAGAATTGAAAGCTTACTTTTAGGCTTTTATATATTTATTTCTCTTTAACACAACAAAGAATGGTGTACGAGAAAAGCAGCCTTCCTGTACAAGAGTAAACTACCAGCTGGCAGTGCATTCTATCTCTTCTGGTGCATGTCAGCTCATTACATCCCCTCAAGAGGACCACTGCAAACAATTGAAGGAATTTGAGTTGCCTAAAATGTCCCCATGGCACTGAAAGTCCCTCCTGTAATACTGGTTACCCCAACTCCTAAAGCAGATTAGTCATAATGACTACTTTCCATTCCTGTCCTAATAGTCTCTTCTAAAAAGCACTTTAGATAACTCTGCTTGATTAAAAAAAATTGAGCAGCGGTTCCGTTTCTTTTTTAATGGGAACTTTTATGTCAAGTGTAGAAGCTGCACTGACATCTCACATGAAACTATCCCATCACTCAGCAAGAGGCACTCCATTTTGGATGGATTCTTGATTTACTTTCTGTGAATCTAAGTTCATGGATTTTCTACTCTTGCTAAGGCAATACTATTAAAATGTCAGAATGCAGTTTCCCAGAGCAAGAGTCTTATACAGTTTTCAATTCTTAATGAGAGGCATCAGCCAAGTTTTTAAAATCTTGACTTGAATCATGCTTAATGCTATTTGTTAACTGGTGTGAAAAGGTTTCTATGTGTTAAAGTGGTAGCATTCTACCAAGGTAAATGGCGTTCTGGGGCATGATATTCTATCTGGCTGCTTGCTTTCTATCCCTATTTGACTTTTTTACAAAAATTCAGTGGATGGGGCATAGCCCTACTTTACAATGTTAAGAAGTGTTTTTACTTTAAGTTGGCTCAAATTAATAAAAGACACAGGGCCAGGTGCGGTGACTCAAGCCTCAGGGCCAGGTGCGGTGACTCAAGCCTGTAATCCCAGCACTTTGGGAGGCCAAGGCGGGTGGATCACGAGGTCAGGAGAGTGAAACAATCCTGGCTAACACGGTGAAACCCCATCTCTATTAAAAATACAAAAATTAGCTAGGTGTGGTGGTGGGCACCTGTAATCCCAGCTACTCAGGAGGCTGGGGCAGGAGAATCATGTGAACCCAGGAGGCGGAGGTTGCAGTGAGCCGAGATCATGCCACTGCACTACAGACTGGGCAACAGAGAAAGACTCTGTCTCAAAAAAAGAAAAGAAAAGAAAAGAGACAAAGGCTCCTCTTGAACTGTTTTCTCAACTACTTGATCATTTGTGTCTCTTCTGGGAAGGATAGACAGGCAGAGCAGGGCCCAGTGCTCATGTGCTGAATGTAACTCGCCCTAACAGCACAAGAAGCCCAAGGGCTTGTTTTCTGTGTGAGTCAAGGAAACACCTGCTACCTCATGAGACAAGTCTGATCCAGGGGTATTGGCAAGGAAAGGTATGCAGGCCTTGCACAGAGATACTGAAATTGCTTTTGTTTCCTTCCTTCCTAATTTTGTCTCTGTAGATGTCTCACTGTTTCCATGGGTTTATTCATTTCCATCACCACCACTACCCCCACTTTTTTTTACAGTTGTGTATTCAACCAGAGAAAATGAGTTTAAAAAAACAATTATGATAGTGAAAAAAAGAGCAGATTCAAAACTGCCATATGTGAGGCCCATGGGAGTCCCTGATTAATTTTCATTTTTATCATTTAGTTCTGAGATTGGCCTGTTTCAGTAAATGTGAGAGCAAGTGTGGTTATGGACTTGATTTCCTTGCAACCTTAAAAACAAATGAACCAGCTTGAGTCTTTTTCTTACCATGGTGGGTTCCTGTTAGGCAAGAACTGTAACTCCATGAGCAAGTCGTCCCAACACCACAGGGGCAGACCTTCGTCACACAGCAACTCCCAAAATGGGAATTTGGGTGGATTTTAGAGCACAGTCAGCTAACCTTGAGAACATCATGGTTGTAGGCAAAACTTTCTGTTCCTCTATTTGTCTTTCTGCTCCATTCTTGGGTCCATATTCCCCTACACATATTGGATGCTTGAAATACTGACTCTGAAAGAATAATCAATTAGCAAATAGTTACAAGGAGTAGGACACTCAAGGAGTCTAGTTGAAAAAAAAAGGACCAGCATGATAATTGTACAAAAAGTATTTGTAGAAATTCAAACATGGAGAAATCACTGTATATTGGGAAAGATTAGGAAAAGTTACTTATAGAACAGCAAGGTAAGCTGAGCCTTAAGCAGGTAGGAAGGTTGGATGAGACCCAGCAGGGTAGACAGGAGAAGCCATGGCATATGTGGAGTATAAGTTGACAGAGGCAAGGAGGTAGGTTTGGTCAGGTGTGTTAAGGAGACAGTGAGTCTGGTTAGAAAGGAGTTTTCAGGGAGTGGAAATGGCACCTAAGGGCAGCATATTGTTAGGCACCAGTTTATTGAAAGAAAGCCTCCAAGGGCGGTGGCTCCTGCCCATAATCCCAGCAATTTGGGAGGCCAAGGTGGGCAAATCACTTGAGCTCAAGAGTTTGAGACCAGCCTTGGCAGCACGGCAAAACCCCGTCTCTACACAAAGTACAAAAATTAGTCACACGTAGTGGCATGCACCTGTAGTTACTTAGGGGGTTGAGGCAGGAGGATCGCTTGTACCCAGGAAGTTGAGGCTGCAGTGAGCCCTGATTGTGCCACTGAACTCCAGCTTGGGTGACAAAATGAGAAAGAGAAAAGGAGGGAGGGAGGGAAGGAAGGAAGGAAGGAAGGAAGGAAGGAAGGAAGGAAGGAAGGAGGGAAGGAAGGAAGGAAGGAAGGAGAGAGAAAGAGAGAAAGAAAGAAAGAAAGAAGGAAGACAGGGAGAGAGAGAGAAAGAAAGAGAAAGAGAAAAAAAGAAAGAAAACCTAGGGGATTTGGATTTCATCCTACAGGCAAAAGAGTCATGGACATTTTTGGGCAGGAGACTGGCATGGAGGGAGATACTTCTAAAGATGATTAATCTGATGCTAATCATCAAAAGTGTCAGGAGGCTCCCACACAGTCCAGCTGTGAGGCCATGAAGCGTGGGAGACTGGGAACTGTCCACTGCCAAGAACTCTGGAGGCTTCCCAGGGTCCCCTTAGGAAACACCTTGCAGATAAAGCCTTTCCCTTTCTCTAAAAATCTCCACATTCTAATCCCCTACTTTGCCCTTGACGGTCTGGTTGACTATGCTGTACTAAGATGTTAAGAGCAGATTATAACTTAAAGTAGGTACAAGAGAACACAAAATTTCACAGGTATGAGAAATATTAAGAAGCAGGCTCACTATGAGAAATAACTTTTCATAGAAGCCTTCAGAACATATCTAGTAACATCTAGTTTACAATAGTAAGAAACAAAAAAACAATTTGGGTGTTCTGGGATGGGAGAAGTTTCACAAGATGGCATTTACTTCAAATTTTTCTTCAAGTGGTGTCATTTGGGTTGTGGTTGATGGCTATGACACCAAGAGAAAGCAAGTTAACTTGGATTAAGTCTCTTTTCTGCTTTCCAAATTACATAGATTTCTCAGGGTCTTTGCCCTCCCCACATCTGGACTCCAGGAATGAGTCATTTAAGGAGACACCCCCAGACAGGAGTTTCTGTTCCCTGTAGTTGTTCTAATGAGCACTCTGTACTTCGACTGCCTGTCAGACAAATCAGGGAAGAAAGCAGGAGTCTCTAAAGCAGTCAAGCAAATTTCCCCAGGCTTACAGTCTCAAAGAAATTGGGCCTGGCCAAAATGACCTCAGGCATCCACTGAGGAGAAGAACTTGCTTCTAAGAACTTCTCTCCAGCCTTCCATGTTTCCTTCCATGACAGGCATCTGTGGGGTGACAATTAGGTGTGGTGGGTGGGCATTTCTGTGGGCTGGCAGCCTATTTTAACTTCCAACTGTGGGAGTGAGCTTTAACTCTGTGCTAAAATTAGGGGAATCCAGCAACTCCTGTGGTTATTTCAATCAGTTCCCACTTATTGAGTAGCAGCGGCACAGTTAAGTAATAACATGGTAACCTTGCCAAGACATAAATGAAACGCTGAGTGTTGCCCAGTTGGAGCTGAAATCGCTTCAATGATCTAAGCTGAGAGCCAAACCAACAAAAGGGCTGCTGGCCTCTGGGGGTGGGGGAAACTGGGGACATGGAACAGAATCCCCAGAGCAGCTCTTTTGATGCTGGGGTCAGATTTAAGGGAGTGGGCACTGATTGGCCTGGCAATCCAAACTTCACTACAGAAATGCCAACAGCCCCAGGAATCAGAAAGGCTCAGTTTGCTCTTCCTCCAAGAGAGGGCACATGGGCTCTGCCAGAGGAGCCCACTGCCAGACCCAGGGATCCTGGAAAGACCCTGGCCCCTGGTGCTTGAGTTCACACCGTTGCAATGAATGTAATCATGATCCAGAGAAGCAGCTCCTAAGCCACACTGTGGAGAACATTGTTCTGATTGGCTCTGCTTTGAGAAGATGGTTTTCTCTAGCTGAGAGAGACAGAGGCGCCATGCCAGCTCCCGGTTCAGATCGGCAGGTGAGGTCAACAGAAGAACAAAAGAAGGAGAAGGGCAGAACCTTGAAGAAAGGTTCTATCCAGGATTCTTAGGGCACCAAAGGGCCACCAGGCCCTAAGTCATCCCCCTTGGGTTGGGGTTAGAGCTGGGGGAGGGACCTGCGGTGATGGAGGCCACTGATAACTGCAGACTGAGCACTCAAGTTTTCAGTTCATGCAGGACTCTTTAGCTCCCCTTACCCACTCTTCTGACAGTCTTAGCCATTTTACTCTGATGGTTAAGTGGACCTGAGTTCAAATCCAGTGTGCACTCCAGGAGTCAGGGCCTACAGAAGGCCAGGAATGCCAGGAGACAGGATTGTTGGTGGCCATCTCAGAAGTCTGCCTGCCACACATTATGATCATTTAGCCCAGGGGTGGCCAATCTTTTGACTCCCCTGGGCCACATTGGAAGAAGAATTGTCTTGAGCCACACATAAAATACACTAACACTAATGAAAGCTGATAAGCTAATTAAAAATAATCACAGAAAAATCTCATTATGTTTTAAGAAAGTTTATGAATTTGTGTTGGGCCACATTCAAAGCTGTCCGGGGCTGCCTGCAGCCTGTGGGCCATGGCTTGGCCAAGCTTGATTCAGCCTGAGAACCGAGTGAGCACCAGAGGAGAAGGAAAAAGGAAACCCGTCCATGGCACTACCTGTTTTACAGTGGCTGTCAACTCTGGCTGCATTTCAGAATTACTTAGGAGCTTTTTAAAAATACCTATACCTGGGCCCCACACCACATATTCTAATTTAACTGGTCTCAAGTGGGTGCTGGGCTTCCTCCCCGTGTGATTCCAATGAGCAGCAGGCCGGGCAAACACCGATTTCATCTCTCTAGCAAAGGTTAGGTAAGGAAGGGGATTTAAGCTTTGACTAACACAAAGGATGAGCATAAACTCTGAAGGGTTTCCAGGTGGAAAGGCATGTTAAAGGTCACCAGACAGATCCTGTTCCTCCCGACCTGAGAACACCATCCCCGACACCATCACCTCCACACCACCCCTGACAAGGAGAGACACATTGACCTCTGCACCCCCTTCTCCCCCATGCACCACTCGAGGCCAGGCAGTTCACAGTGGGACACAGCTGACTGCTCAAAGGTTACCTTATGTTGAGCTGATTTCAATGATCTCTTCTATTTTTATTCCTATCCTTTGAGTTTTATTAGAAAGACATAAAGAAAATTCCACATGATGTTGTTTTAAAAAAAAAAAATCTGAGCACCAGCTGCGTTCCTGGATTGAAGGTTTGGCCCTGTTGTACTTTCAAATAACGAGGTTGCCTGCCCAAGTCAGAGGGACAGGTCTCAGCAGCTGTGAAGCTCATCTCCTCTCTCTGCCCCTGGAAACTCACCTGCCCTGTGTCCTAGCCTGTCTATACCACAGCATCTCTCATCTTCTAACAGTACCAGGGGATTAAGAGCTTAATGGGTTTCCTTGACTTTTGTTATAACAATTACCTTCACTGCCTTACAGTAAAATTGAGGCTATACAAAAAAAGTCACTTTTATATCATAAATTAAGTAATGTTTTCATTTTATAATTTTTTTTTTTTTTTTGAGATGGAGTCTTGCTCTGTTGCCCAGGCTGGAGTGCAGTGGCACCATCTCGGCTCACTGCAAGCTCCGCCTCCCATGTTCATGCCATTCTCCTGCCTCAGCCTCCTGAGTAGCTGGGACTACAGGCGCCGGCCACCACACCCAGCTAATTTTTTGTATTTTTAGTAGAGACGGGGTTTCACCGTGTTAGCCAGGATGGTCTCGATCTCCTGACCTTGTGATCCGCCCACCTTGGCCACCCAAAGTGCTGGGATTACAGGCATGAGCCACCGTGCCTGGCCTTACAAATATTTTTTTAAAAGCCTATTCTGTTTCCAGAAGTGCTAGTTTCCAGAGAAGTTAATAGTGAAGCAAAGGCAGACCCAGTTCCCCATCATGGGAACCTTAACTATATAATCACACAAACACATGTTAGACCACACCTGTGATCTGGGGTGTGCAGGAGAGGTACCTGGTGATTTGAGGGCACATCACCCTTGCCTGGGTGTCAGGGAGGGCTTCCCTTGAAGATCTGAGGCTTTAGCAGAGATGGGGAGGGTGAGGAGGAGTTAACTCTGGGGAGGGTGGGGGCCAGAGCATCCAGACAGAGGAAGCCTTGCAGGCAGAGGCCCTGGACTAGGAGGGAACACGGGTAGGAGAAATTGAAAGGAGGGTTGTGTGGCTGAGACCCAGAGCAAGGGAAAGTGGGCTGACAAAGGGGCAGGAGCCATCTTAAAGTGTATTATGACCCTAAGAACAATGGGAAGACATCAAAAAGTCTTTACTAGGCAGGGGAAAATGTTTAAATGTTAGCAGTAAACTTCACATAAGGTACTTCCTCACTGGCCAATTCATACCACTATTCTGCATTTAGGTTTTAAAACATGGAAAGTTTCTTTTAAAAGCCAAAACATTCTTTTTAAATATCCAAAAACCTCTATCATTTATTCATTCATTTG